ATACGTTTATTTTCTATTTAAACATAAAAAAAGCATTTTAATAACAGCTAAAGGTGACATAGATACTTTATTATGGTATAGTATTTAAATGTATGCCTGAGAAACACATAATATTGCCCCTTTAAAAACCGTTGCATTGTTTTATTTCCCTTTTTTCTGAACGGTGGTAGTAACTTACTTAGCATGGCTGACTTTACGCCACACAGACCACCCAGGTTGTTTAAACTGCAGGTGTTGWTCCTCCACCACTTATTGTGTCCAGCTCTGCAGCGGCTATGATTTGCTATCGGTGCRTAATTTGCTTATCTCCAATTGTCTGCCAAGCTCAACACGATGCATTGAAGCAAATCCTGTCCTTGACAAACAAACAAACCATTTTCTGGTGGACGGCTTAATTGCCATTGATGTGTCTTGGCTGGATGAGTGCTGCAATTTTCATCACTGCTCTGGTGGTCGAGCGCACTTAGACGGGTCAAGACAATACACTGTCAAAGCCTTTTATTACTACTTTTTGTTCTCACTCGTAGTCTGCCTTTTTGGAGCTAAATACTCAATATAATGCTATAATGGCATGTAAAGAGATAATATCATGCAAAATAATTATAATTTTATCATTAAAATACTGAAAGCAAATGTAGCTTTAAAGATTTTAATCTGACTTGAAAACTTTTACTGTCACAAATCATAAGTATCCATAAGAGAGCAATATTTTTCCCTCCTTCAAAACCTTGAAGCTTTTACAACCACTTCAACTTAGACTCCACTTCTGGGGTTGTTGCTAGGCTTTGCTACTGAAGCGTCGCTACTAACAGGATGCATGAAAAGAGGCTGCAATTGAGTTACAGGAAAATAAAATTTGAAAATAAATAAGCAAATTAATAATAAAAAATAATAATAATAATAATAATTGTGAAGATGTTACCAGGAGCGAGCTGTCTTACCTGGGGACACAGGCTGTGGAGGTCTCCCCTTCTGGGGCCTCCGGGGCCGGGCAGCAGAACTGGTGGAGTACTGTTGGGTTGCTGCGTGAAGAACGAGAGATGATACATTAAAGTGAATTTTGGGATAAAAGTAAAAATTTTTCACTGTAACTACCAAATTCTTGAACTTTCTATTAATCATAGACAACAGGAATGAAGGACTTTATATAATAAATAAGTCTAGGATAAAAACAAAAGAAACAGATGAAAAAAATGCACATTTTAGCTCTTTGGAGAGACGCCCACACTGAGAGTGTTTCAGCACCACGGACAGAGACAAAAACTTGTTCCACCATTTCGTTTAGTTTTCTTTATTTTGTCACATTATTTAATTCAGTTGAAAACTTATCAAATCTACAAATTTTATAAGTGGGCCCTGCAACACTTTTGTGCCCTATTAATACTTCGAAGCATCTGATTTTTTATTTCTTTCCTCCGATTCTGTTATTTAACTGGTTGTGTCTTCCCTCAGAGGGGATGAGGGCGACGCTGAAATGGATGTAAAATTTTAATGTGCACGCCAGAAAGCTTTTCCCTTTTATCCACTGTTCTGTGCTCTGCTTTTCAGCTGGACACAGTCTTGCATTTCAAACATCCAGTATCTCTTCAACCCCCCCCCCCCCACACACACACACACACACAGTCATGCTTTCTCTTTCATTTTTTTCTCACACTGATTTTTTTCCCATTGCTGTATGAGCCTCCCCACCCACACATACACACTCCCCTCCTCTGCGGTGGCCCTACAGACGGTGGGTGTTAAGCTAAAGAGGAATATGCTYGATTAATCTTGCTGTCAGAAGATGTGGCAAAGCTCAGACAATGCCCAGACACGAGGGGCAGTGTTCTTATTTGTTTGAATTAACTTGACTTCAGAATTCAATCAGGTAAAGATGTGCATCAAATGATTTTGTTCAGAAACATTCATTCAAATTTTCCCAGTGGCTCCTGAGATGTTTTGCCAACAGACTAACGGGGTTGAGGTCAACAATTAATGCTAAAGTTTTATGCCAAAAATACTGTGTAATGTAAAGTCCTTAGAGTACAGGTGCTGGTCATAAAATTAGAATATCATGAAAAAGTAGATTTATTTCAGTAATTCCATTTAAAAAGTGAAACTTGTATATTATATTCATACATTACATACAAACTCATGTATTTCAAATGTTTATTTCGTTTAATTTTGATGATTACAAATGACAACAAATGAAAATCTCAAATTCAGCATATCAGAAAATTAGAATCTTGTGAAAAGGTTCAAAATGGATGGCACCTGGTACCACACTCTAATCAGCTAATTAACTCAAACCACCTGCAAAGGCCTTTAAATGGTCTTTCAGTCTAGTTCTATAGGCTACACAATCATGGGGAAGACTGCTGACTTGACAGTTGTCCAAAAGACGACCATCGACACCTTGCACAAGGAGGGCAAGACACAAAAGGTCATCGCTAAAGAGGCTGGCTGTTCACAGAGCTCTGTGTCCAAGCACATTAATAGAGAGGCGAAGGGAAGGAAAAGATGTGGTCGAAAAAATGTACAAGCTAGAGAGATAACCGCACCCTGGAGAGGRTTGYGAAATAAAACCCATTCAAAAATGTGGGGGAGATTCACAAAGAGTGGACTGCAGCTGGAGTGAGTGCTTCAAGAACCACCACACACAGACGTATGAAAGACATGGGTTTCTGCTGTCGTATTCCTTGTGTCAAGCCACTCTTGAACCACAGACAGCGTCAGAAGCGTCTTGCCTGGGCTACAGAGAAACAGGACTGGACTGCTGGTGAGTGGTCCAAAGTCATGTTCTCTGATGAAAGTAMATTTTGCATTTCCTTTGGAAATCAAGGTCCCAGAGTCTGGAGGAAAAGAAGAGAGGCACTTCATCCACGTTGCTTGAAGTCCAGTGTAAAGTTTCCACAGTCAGTGATGGTTTAGGGTGCCATGTCATCTGCTGGTGTTGGTCCATTGTGTTTTCTGAGGTCCAGGGTCAACGCAGCCACATACCAGGAAGTTTTAGAGCACTTCATGCTTCCTGCTGCTGACCAACTTTTTGGAGATGCAGATTTCATTTTCCAACAGGACTTGGCACCTGCACACAGTGCCAAAGCTACCAGTACCTGGTTGAAGGACCATGGTATCCCTGTTCTTAATTGGCCAGCAAACTCTCCTGACCTTAACCCCATAGAAAATCTATGGGGTATTGTGAAGAAGATGCAATACACCAGACCCAACAATTCAGAAGAGCTAAAAGCCACTATTAGAGCAACCTGGGCTATCATAACACCTGAGCAGTGCCACAGACTGATCGACTCCATGCCACGCTGCATTGCTGCAGTAATACAGGCCAAAGGAGCCCCAACTAAATACTGAGTGCTGTACATGCTCATACTTTTCATGTTCATACTTTTCAGTTGGCCAACATTTCTATAAATCCTTTGTTTTTATTGGTCTTCAGTAATATTCTTATTTTCTGATATGCTGAATTTGAGATTTTCATTTGTTATTTGTAATCATCAAAATTAAACGAAATAAACATTTGAAATATATGAGTTTGTATGTAATGTATGAATATAATATACAAGTTTCACTTTTTAAATGGAATTACTGAAATAAATCTACTTTTTCATGATATTCTAATTTTAAGACCAGCACCTGTATATGTTGTGGGTAATACTCAGCTACTATGACACCAAGTTTCAGCCCAATATGTATAAACTTGGTAGCGTTATGGCCATGTTTGCATCTTCTAAGTTTGATTATCTGTGGCAGCCAACTTGAACTGGATTGACTCCAAAAGTTAATCAGTTATAAATATGCACTCAATGATTGAGTTCTGAGATTTTCATACAAATCCATCTAGTCCTTCATGAAATATTTTGCTAACAGACAGACACAGTTAACTACGATAGTTGGTGGCAAAGTTTTGAAAAACAAATCACATCCAATCAGTCAGGGCTCAGAGTATTTGTTAGGCGTGGCTCTCAGCTACCATCACATCAAATTTTAGCTCAATAAAAATAAAATTGATAAAGCTATAGCAATGCTTGTGTTTGATAAGGTTGCTTAGCTGTTTTGGCTATCTTAAATGACACTGACTCCAAACGTTAAAGAGTTGTAGACGTAGACCTCTTGATTACTTTCTGAGAGTTTCATTAAACTTTGTTCAATTTTCCATGAGACATGATGCTATAGAGTAACACACACATACACACACACACACACACACACACACACACACACACACACACGCATAAAGCTCAAAAACAGAGCTGAAGCTGACATCAGCCCACCCATACAAACACACTTTTACTAAAGAAGTGAAGGAGAGCCTGTGAGATGGAGGTGCCCGAGTGTTTTTGAGCAACAATAGCAGCTCGAACAGGGAGGGGATGACGGCAAATTAATTTTCATTGTTAATGGCTCCTCTAATTGTGTTCGCTTGAACAGCCATGACACCGCTGCGGCCGGTTTTAATAGRTCCAGAACACAGGCGGTCTCCTGGGGGACACAGATTAGTGAGAGTGTTGGAGCAGCGGAGACACTTGTTCACACAGATAAAGGTCGTATATTCTGCTCGTCGGTGGGAGGACACTCAAATCTGCCGTGTTGCTGCTGAGATCACTCGAGTTTGCTGGAAATTTGGGGACGAAACAATAAAAAATAAAAACTGTGACCTTGTCAAAGACATGTTGGCTCTGTGGATTCTGCACAAACAGGTCATTTTACAGTATCCATGATGAAAACTGACAATATTTTAAGCTGTTTTGCAAAGTGAAAGCCAAAAAGTGGAGCAACCGTTTTACTTTAGCTGAGATATGACACAGCAGCTAATCTGTGAATGATGAGTCAGCATTCACACTGTTCTCCAGTTTGTAATTTCTTCCATACTTTTTTCACAATCAAATACCTTCTGCACCCTTTGGAATGTTTTAATCATTCATGTATAAAAAATGTTTCACTTACTAAATAATATTGTTCTGTGACTTTTGATTTTGATATTTTTTACTTAAAATTCTTCTTTATATCYTTTGAATCATTGTACTTTTATGTCCTTACTCGATCTGTTTTTGTTTTCTTATCCTACTTTTAATGGTAAATGTAAATGGACTGTACTTATATAGCGCCTTTCGATCCATCCAGGACACTCAAAGCGCTTTACACTTACATTCACCCATTCACACACACATTCAATTCACACACTGATGATGGTAAGCTACATTGTAGCCACAGCTGCCCTGGAGCACACTGACAGAGGCTTTTAACTACCATTCTGTTAATTTTAGCCTTTARCCATCATTTTCATACTTTAGTTTTTCACCCCTATTTTGCTTCTTTTAGCWATAATTATTTTGCTCCTGGCAATTACATTTTTTCTCATTTTAGCTACTGTTTGCTATTGTACAATTTGCTTTTTTAGCTCTTATTTTGCTCCTWGTAGCTGTATATTTTTACCTGCTATTCTGCTTTTTTTAGCTTAGCGACAGCATATATTCATAGCTACTGTTTTACTGCTTTTAGTTTTCAGCTTGTGTTTTGCTATCATTTTCACATTTTTAGCTTTTTTCCTACTGTTCGGCTTATTTTTGCGTTAAGTTCTCATTTTGCTCATTGTAGCTACAGTTTTGCTAATGTTAGCTACTGTTTAGCATAAGCATTATTTTGCTACTTTTACCTACTAGTCTGCTGTTTTTAGCTACTGTTCTGTTGTTTTTAAGTTTTAGCTTCTAGCTAATTTTCAACTGCTTTCAGTTAGCCCCTGTTCGGCTGGATTTAGGTTTCATACTGTTYATCTGATGTTTTACTGCTTTTACTTTTCAGCTTTAGTTTTGCTCAGTTCAGTCTATTTTCTGTTGATATTCACTTTTAATAACTCAGTTTTAGCTGTTTTAGGAAATGAAGTCATTCATTGCTCAGAATCCACTTAGCATTTTTGCAGGTGTGTTTATTTTAGCAGTTTGGTTTTAGTTTTTATTCCAACCTTTTAGTTTACTAGTTTCCATTTACTGATTTAATTATAGTCTGTAAAACAGGGGGGAAAAATCAACTT